GGTCTGGTAGAAGTTTACCAACATTTCAGAGGTCCTTGCTGCCTCCATCATCAGGGTGCGCTATGATAGAGGCCGTAAGAACCTCTGAAACGTTGGAAAATGTTTTTGTTCTGCTGCTGACAATTTGTGTTGCTTCCTGTCTGATTACTATATTGTGAAATGTCGCGTGTTGTTAGATTCCAGTTTTGTCTATAGAATCTGTGCTGCTGTCTGTCTGAGCAGATAATTGACTCAAACTTCCAACAGAAGCAGGCGCACAGCCGTTTTAATACGCGGCACAGAAACGTCGACTGACTCTCAGTTCTCCATTAGTTTTGTAGCTTTCTATTGTTTAATTCTTGATTATTCGATTCAACCGCTCAGCCGTACTGTTTGACTTGATGGTATACACCAGGAATGTCACGTGACTTTAGAGAAAGTAGTCCGGAGGGGAAAGATCTGGTGATCTTTCTGGCCAAGGTACTGGACGACCTCGGCGAATGCAGTGGTATGGAATTTGTTGATTTAAAATTGCAGTCATCTGCCTATCAAAATGAGGATGTTCGCCATCTTGCCTGGTTAGCAGAGGACAATCTTCCAGTATGAACGGCAGATATTCCTGTAGGAAACGCAAGTAGGGCAGAGGTATGAACCGGTTTCAAGCACATTCGGTCCGATAAGCAAACAGCCAATGCATAGTGAGTGAGCAGAATTCTTCTGACAAACCGTTGCAGCTCGTACCCACGTTTATTTGAACTTTTTGACTCAAAATAATTCCAAGAGAACATAGTTAAGCTATGGTCATTCTGTTGTAGGACATTCTGTAGATTAATAGGCTAACTATTCACTTTAGTTACCCACTTTGTTTCCAAATTCCACAGGAACTAACTACCTACGTTAATCTCGCCAGATATTAGCTGAAAATTATGCACTGTCATCATATTTGTAACCTGTAACATATGAAATTGTCTCGTGTATCATTTATAAGTATTTAAAATCGGCCTCTCGTTCTTAGATCTGGTGGTTCATTATTTAATCTACATCAAATTGGGAGTTAAGTTTAAGTAACAAGTAAATTACGCTGGCCGCCGTTTTATTCTATACATTATACAAAAGAAATTACTTGTTCAGAACTAAAATGTTTTACTGAGATTTATTATCTCACCGAAGTTGAGCACTCCAACTTATTAAATAGGGCTACATTAAATTTAACCTTAGAAATTTTCACGACTTCTGGATTGGCGTTAGGTATGCATGGCAGGGAATTAAACATAACGAAGATAGGATTATCTTTACTGACGTAGACCACAAGAACTTGCCTTTCTTTGTAAAGTATAGTTATTAGGCCCACTTACACGGAATTGGCGATAACAACAAGTGGGCAGGCACGTTTCATGAAAGTGCGTGGGACTGGCAGAACTGGAACATAATGAGAATTGGGTTTTATTATCCAC